AGGTCTTTGACATTAGGCCTACACATTGGGCTAATGAGTGTGAAGCGCCATTTGTTTGGATAAATTCGAATGGAAATCTCATTGTTGAGTTGTTGAAGCTGAGTTTGTTAGTCGACAAATTTTTGTTTGAGACAAAATTCGGAGACGGCGAGTTATTTGGCGATAGATCAATAATTTGATTATTGAAAAATAGGTGAGATAAAACCATAAACTATTACTAGAATTAATTATAAGCTCAGTTATACTATAGATAAAATGAGTATGAGTAATGAAACTAGGTCGGAAGTAGTCCACCAAAAACACTACATAATAATTTTACTGAAGGAAGTCACAACCCAACGCGCTTTAAACAATATACAGTATAGCTAAGTTTAATTAGGAATAATGGATCTATAATTACATAAAGTTTTTAATATATTTTCCATTCGTAGGCTTATTATGTCTTTTTATTGGGTTCTACCTATAGTAATTGTGGGTTCTACCAAACTCTTAGCCTACATTGGCATCAGCTGAATAAAATGCCAAAACCATTGTTGAGTAGTGGGTTTGTTGATAAAATTAAATAATAGGCCCTAAAAGATAAACTCACGAAAGAAAGAATTTGTTTACAAAAAACACTACACAATTTTTGATTATATCACAATGTACCTAAGTTACAGGTAGCATTAACATAATTATAATAGACCTATGTTCAAACTATACTAACTTAGGTATAAAGCTTTCCTGTATAATAATAAAAGCTTCTCCAACTAGGCTACGTATTTTTATGTTTATTACAAATGGAATGTGATTTGATTATTAAAGTTTCATTCATTCCTTTGGATGTATAGGCCTAGTATTCAAGTAGCCTGTAGCCTATATAAAACTTATTATTTAAAAAAAAACCTTAGTGTAGTAAGCAATACATGATTAACTTATTTCTTACTTCTAATGGAAATTGATTTTTAAGCCTAGGCCTACTCAAACTCATAAAATTGATTAGCCTAAGTTGATTTACCAATTGATTTGTTGGGAAAGTTAATTATGTTTAAGCTTAAAACAAAAATTCAATACAGTTGAACTACAAAATGAGTTCTGATGACAAAAATATAATTAAAAATTCTCTTCTACACAGCTAACAGATTCTGATATAAAAAGTTAGTGACCTGACCAAGATTCGAACCGGGGACGTCCCGATTTAAAAGTAAGAACGCTAGCCACTACACCACGCACGGCTGCTTCATTTGGTGAGCTATTTCAGTAATATAGTAGGTTTGCTTGATTAAATCTAGGCTACTGTATGAAAATCAGGGTAACACCACGCACGGATACTTCTAGCGATCTAATTCAGTATGCTAATAGATTTGCTTGATAAAATCTAGACTACTGTATAAAAATCTCGGCAACCTGTTTGGTTCCTAATAAAAAATAATAAAAAAACATGTCCAAAACCAAATGTTCATTTTCATCGTACTCAGACTGTGTTTACTGTGCTTCAGCAACTTTTACCAGTATCTTTCTTAATACCTAGCCTAACAAATTTGTTGTCTAAAAGTGACAGAAATAAGACTTTTACTGTGTAGTGGGGCAAAAAGTAAATTACGTAAGGCCTATTATATAATTTTTGACAACAGCCTCTAGAGCCCTCCGAGTGTTAAGCGTCGCGTAATCGACGCACAAGACACCCGCCGTGGTGTTATGCGTCGCTTTTGCGACACGCAAACATTGTTTACGGCAAAGGCTCTATTTTCATCGTACTCAGACCGTGTTTACTGTGCTTCAGCAACTTTTACCAGTATCTTTCTTAATACCTAGCCTAACAAATTTGTTGTCTAAAAGTGACAGAAATAAGACTTTTACTGTGTAGTGGGGCAAAAAGTAAATTACGTAAGGCCTATTATATAATTTTTGACAACAGCCTCTAGAGCCCTCTGAGTGTTAAGCGTCGCGTAATCGACGCACAAGACACCCGCCGTGGTGTTATGCGTCGCTTTTGCGACACGCAAACATTGTTTCGGCGAAGGCTCTGGGACTGACTGAATCAGATTGAAATGGATCGAGATTGGTATCGTTGTTTTCGGCAGATTCTAAGCTTCCTTCTGATGTCAGTTTCTAGACGCTTTTCATTTTAGTTCCGAAAATATTAACTGCCCAAAAATTGTTGAAATATTTTTTTATAATGTTTTATATATTACATTGAAGTCCATAATTTCCCAAACAAAATTATATAAAACAGTAACTTATACTTTACATTGTTTTTCAGTTTCTAAGATACATTTTAATAAAACCCTGCGATTGTGCAATAAATGGGCGGACATTAATACCAATACTATGGACACTTGGAGGGCTAGAGCAACTGTAGGCTATGGCTTTTGTCAGCTCACAGACCCTTGCATTTTGTTTTTTCTAAACCAGCCTATATCATCCAGCCTAAAACCATGTCTTAGAGAATCCATACTAGAATGTGTGTACGTACAGTTTTACGATTTTTTACATTTAGTACCGGTGGACCAAACTATTGCTCGGTGTAGTTTATTTCGATTGTAAAAGTGATATGAAGGAATCTCGCATTTTGGTTGAAACTACTTTTAATTTTTAGCGAATTTCCCTTTAGGGAAGTAGTTACGAGGTGTTTTATGGGGTAAAAATTAGTTTTTCTCATTTTTGACACTCAAAACAAAAAAAAATCCCAATTTCTCTATAGACTTTCTTAAAGAGCTTAAAAAAACAAATAATTAAGTATATCAAAGTGTTTTTGTACGGTTATTGGTTACGGAGAAAACTAAAAAAATTTTAAATTTTAAATTCCCATGTAATTCTTGTGGAGAATATTGTAAAATGTTGTAGTTTGCTAGTTTATGGATTTTGATCAAACATGGCAAATGTATTGATTGTATACTAAGCTATAATTATTTTACTTAAAAACACACTTTTTAGTTTCCTTGTAGCAACAAACCTAGGTACTCGTTAAACCTAATGTTATAAAAATTGATTTATTGAAAATCAATTCATGCAAATGGAAATTCACTTAGAGGGCAGGTTTGCTGCGGCGGGGTATTTGTTATTTAAGTTTAGTTGAAATTTGGATTTATTATCATGGCAATTTTAAACTGACAATCCACAAAACATTAATTCATTTTACATCCAATGGCAGTCACATGTGCTTGCATAAACATTGTTTTGAGGTTTTTTTTTAATTAAAACAGCTGATTATTATTTTTGTTATTCTAATTTACATACAATAAAATGTAAGTTAATATAATGAAATATTTATTTCACTGTTAAACCAAAGTTTGTAAACATTTTCCCCAGAACTTTAGGGTTTAAATTTTGGTAGAATAGAGCCACAATTAAATATAATCTATAAGTTATTTGATTGGAACTATTTTCCCCTATATATCTAGCAATCAACAGTGTAGCCTAATCTTTGCTCAATCATAACAACTGATGATGTTTTTTTTCCTTTTTAGTGTAATTTGTAGTTTGATAATATACTGTGGTAGCTTTTTTTATCACTTTTTTCTTTTTTCCCTTGTTATTTTTTCAACTAGCATAGTACCTTGGCAACCCATAAGGCGTATGTTATTTTTTTTATTGTCAAAAGAGTTGTGTATATTGAAATACAAACTTTTCTTAGGTAGTGGCTGTTGTCAATCAAGTTTTTAGACCAGACATGAATTATCTAGGGCCTACAACATTTAAAAATACCGAATTTTGGAAGTCACCGAAGCCGTTTTTTGAGATCTTTGTGCATGCATACAAACAATCATATACCGTACATATAAGCAAAAATTGCTGATAAGTTCGAATTAGTCAATTTGTAGGCGTTTAAATCAATACTTAAAAAAAGATTCAGATCGAAAAGGCAAAAGCCTTGCTTAAATGCTAACTGGAATTTCATCATAAATACAGTTGGTATAAGTAATTTTTCCAGATTTATTTAACTTGTAATATCTATTAAATATAATGATAGGAATTTTAATCAAAATATATATTTTTGCAGATATATTCCTGATCCCACAAACCAGAATACCAAGAAACATATTCCCAACCTTACTATTCCAAAGTTACCTACTCCAGTACCTTATCCTAACCAGATTATTAAACTTAAAACTTTTAACTACAAATCAAAAATCTGAATCAAAATGTACAGTTATGTATTAAAAGGGGTTGGAAGAAAGCCAAAACAGAAGAATTTTATTAATTTGAAAAGAAATCCAAAATCCGACGTTTCTCATACCAATAATGTAGACTCTGAAAAAATTTGTGCAGGTGACTTTTCACAAAACAGTTATAGATTTCCAGTCCACGTAAGGAATACACAGTGCACCAGTAATGCAGTTACAGCTATTGTTATGAACAGCATATGCCCTGTTAATGAATGGTCTAGGGAGGTAATGAATGACATTTTAGTTTATGGCAACTCTAAGCACATCGAGTCCCAGAACTCTCTCCATATAAGTGATAACAGTTCTCCCCCAAAATTCCTGACAATCGATGAGGTAGTACCAGTTTTCAATATAAATGGGTCACAATATGAAGTCACAATATTAGATCAAGTTTTTCAAAATTATGTAGGTCATGAAAGTAAGAATCTAATGGAAGAATTACAATTATTTTTTTCTCAACAAAGTGTTGGTGTATTCACATCTATGCTACTCTCTGTTGCTTTAATGAAGGATGATCAAAATTCATTTTGGATGTTCAACCCACATAGTCGAGACCCACAAACTGGAGCTGTATTTGAAAACGGCGTTGCAGTTGCTGTTCAATTTAATTCTATTAACAATCTTCTATCACTAATGACAACTAATTTCATGTTCACTGCAGAGTCATTGTTTACAATAACTCCAATAAGCGTCAGGAGTTCAAGTAAAATTTTACACGAGTCCGCACTACACACAGTTGAACCACAGTTTAATACAGAGATAAATAATGAAATAAAGCCAAATAACTGTAATGATGACTGGATTGAAGTGGTAAAAAAGGGCAAGAAAAGAAAACTGTATAATAAACAACAAATGAAGGAAAGAAGAGGCAACAAAGATTACAAAAAAACCGAATTAGACAAGAACTCAGACTACAAAAAAAGAGTCAGAACCTGTACTGATTACAAAGATAATGAACGGAAAAAGGATTTACAAAATAAGAAACAACTGAGATCAAATGAAGATTACAAAATCAAACAGAGGGAGATAAACAGAGGGTTTATGAAAAAACTAAGAATGGATGAAGAATACAAAATTAAGGAAAGAGAAAAGGATCTTACTAACAAGAATGTACTAAGGACAAATGAGTACTTTAAAAATAAGGAGAGAGAGAGAAACAGCAATATAATGAAAAATCTTAGATCAGATGCTGATTACAAGAACAAGGAGAGAGAAAGAAACAACAATATAATGAAAAATCTTAGGTCAGATGCTGACTTCAAGAACAAGGAGAGAGAGAGAAACAGCAATATAATGAAAAATCTTAGGTCAGATGCTGATTACAAGAACAAGGAGAGAGAGAGAAACAGCAATATAATGAAAAATCTTAGGTCAGATGCTGACTTCAAGAACAAGGAGAGAGAGAGAAACAGCAATATAATGAAAAACCTTAGGTCAGATGCTGACTTTAAGAACAAGGAACGAGAAAGAAACATCAATATAATGAAAAATCTTAGATCAGATGCTGATTACAAGAACAAGGAGAGAGAAAGAAACAGCAATATAATGAAAAAACTTAGATCAAACAATGACTATAAAGACACTGAGAGAAAGAGAAACAGCAATTTAATGCAAAAGCTTAGATCAGATGAAGATTTTAGAACCAAAGAAAGAGAGAACGAGAAGCTAAATAAAGCTGTAAAAAGGAACAATGAAATTTTAAAATATCGAGAAAGAGTTCAGAATCAGCTTCGTAGGAGTGGGTCACAAGAAGCTAAGTTAAAATTAGATGTAATTAAATTAAGAAGTTACCGTCCAGAGTTTGTTTGTACTTTCTGCGAAGGATTGTTCTTCTTACATTCTATAAATTCTTTTAAAATCTCAGATTTCAGTAACCATCCTAACATTGATACCTCTATATTTAGCGAATGTAAATGGATTTGTCACACATGTAATAAATATATCAAAAAAGGAAAAGTTCCGCCACTTTCAGTTTCAAATGGTCTAAAATTCCCACATGTTCCAGAGTGCCTAACTAGTTTGTCTGATCTAGAAGAAAGAATGGTTGCGCCTTATATCAATTTTATGCAAATCAGACCTTTACAAACACATGCATTAAATTCCCAGCTTGGAATTAAAGGATCAGTTATCAATGTACCAATTGAAATTAATGATATGGTTCAAAAACTGCCTCGCAATTTTGTAAATATGAATACAATACAAATCAAGCTAAAAAGACATATAACACACGCTTCAGATTATATGTATGAAACTATTCGGCCTTCTGCAGTTTGCCAAGCATCGTCATACTTGAAGGACACTCCACTATATCAAAAGTAAAATATAATAATTGATGATACTTTTTTTCAACAATACTCAACAAATTCTGATGAAAATTTAAATTTCATTGTTGATTCTAACGATGAGGCACAAGTAACATCCACTGCAATCAATTTGAAAAATGAAGAGTTCTGTGAGGAAGACAATGAAGAAGTGCTAATCATTGATAGAAATTTAGAAACATCCCTTAGTAGTGTTGAGGTCATTGCACCAGGCCAGGATAAACAACCAGTGCCATGGCACATTCAGCCAGACATTGAAGAACTGTCGTTCCCTAAAATTTATGGTGGATTCCCAATGGATATAAAAGGGAAAATATCTTATGCAGACAGAGCAAAATCTGAAGCAAGGCGTTCTGATAGAAGAAGCTGTACTCCTACTAAATTGTTATACATGGCAAAAAAGAAACTAGAGTTGAGCTGTGTTTCTAATATAAACGTTTGCTTGAGAAAGAAAAAAATCAAATCTAGTTTAACTGTCACCGATGCATTAAATGATTTTTTTGTCAACAGTTTGATTAATCATGATGATGGTTTTAGAGTATTGAACCAGGTAAGATCATCTCCAGCCTATTGGGAGAACAAAAAGAAAAACTTATTTTCCATGATAAGACAGTTAGGTAAACCCACATTATTTATTACACTCTCATCTGCTGAAAAGTTCTGGCCAGAATTAATTCAACTTTTGGCAAAATTGCTACAAAATAAAACAATTAGCATCGAAGAAGCTTTGTCGCTGTCTGATAATGATAAAACTCTATTAATTCGTAATGACCCAATAACCTGTGCTCGATATTTTGATCAAAAAGTTTCAAAATTGATGAAATACATAAAAGAGAAAGATTTTGGCCCTTTTGGCAAACACACTGTTATTGACAGTTATGAACGAGTAGAATTTCAAATGAGAGGCTCACCACATGAGCATATATTTTTATGGCTTGAAGATCCACCAAACCAAGATAATATTGAGGGAAATAATATAGACACGTGCATATAGTTTATAGATAAGTATATCACATGCGAATACCAGGAGGACAACCCATATATGTCTTTTATAAAACATCGCCATACTCACACATGCTACAAAGGGATGAAAAATAAAAATAAATGCCGTTTTAACTTTCCAATTCCAATGATGCCATTTACAACAATACTTTCTCCCCTAGACAAAGAAATACAGACTGATGACATGAAATTAAACTATAAAAAAATTAAAAATTTCTTGCATTTACTGTTCATGAAACCAAAAGATATTACATTTGATGAAATGTTGCAAGAATTGGACTTAACTCAAAACACCTATATTGATGCCCTAAAAAGCTCTTTGTCAAGACCTCAAGTGTTTTTAAAAAGAGGAAGCCTTGAAGTTGGAATAAATTCATATAATAAAGATATTTTAAACATATTTGAGGCTAAAATTGATGTTCAACTAGTAGTTGAAGAATATGGCCTTGCATCATACATAGTAAATTATATTAGCAAAATTGATTCTGGGATGGTATCTCTACTCAGAGAAGCAGCTACTGACATTAGCCAAGGCATTGGTAACTCAAGAGAAAAGTTGAAAAAAATTGCCAACACATTTTTAAACAGTAATCTCATGTCATCGCAAGAAGCAGCATATCATGTTTTGTCATTGCCTTTAAGCAAATCGAGTAGGAGCACAGTTTTCATCAATACTAGTAGAATAAATGATAGAGTAATGATGCTACAGCCTAAAGATATTTTACAAAATATTGATAATAATTCCTCTGACATTTTCATGGAAAATATCTTTCAAAAATATGCAAAACGGTCTGAAGCTTGTGAAAATATTTGTCTAGCCGATTTCGCTTCAAAATACTCATTTAGTAGAAATAAAATTGAAGAAGTTAATGATGACGCTGACGAAAATAGCACTATGCCTACTGAAAGAAATAAGAAAAGGATAATAAGGTATCGAAATTTTAAAATTTTAGCCGATCCACAAGAATACTACAGAGAACAGATTCTTCTTTTTTTCCCTGGCGGAATGAACTAGAAGAAATTGAAACCGTTGATTGTAAAGAGAAGTTCATGCAACACCAAGAGGTCATCAAAGAAAATGCTAAGCCTTACTGCTCCATGCCTGATCATGTTTTAGAAGAAGCTGTCAACATGGTACAGAATGAAGTGAAACATGTTGAAGAAGAGGAAGTTGAAGAGTTTGTGAATGATGAGCTCCCTAAACATTACAAGGTCAATGTTATGGATCAAGGTGGGTTAACAAAACAAAATGTGGAATTCAACCGTTACTCTACTCCTCAAAAAGTTTCCTTAGCACAAGTTAATACAATGTTACAAAATTTAAATGCAAAACAATCAACTTTTGTTAAACACATTTATAGACTCTGCAAATCTAACACTTTACCTTTCTATATATTTCTCAGTGGATCTGCTGGTGTTGGAAAATCCACAGTCATAAATGCCTTATTTCAACTTTTAACACATTATTTTGACAATTTACCTGGCTCGAATCCAAATTCAATTAAGGTTTTACTTTCTGCTCCATCTGGAAAGGCGGCATTTTTAATAAGAGGTGTAACACTACATACAGCATTTGCTTTGCCAGTATCACAATTTGGAGGGCAAATGGCTGAATTGGCTAGCGACACTGCAAATACCATAAGAGAAAAACTAAACGACCTAAAATGTTTGATAATCGACGAAATTTCCATGGTAGGTAGCACTCTTCTCAGCCGGGTTGACACCAGGTTGCGACAAATAACAGGTCGAAATGAAATGTTTGGCGGGATATCGGTAATAGTTGTGGGTGACCTGAATCAACTTCCACCTGTGATGGATTCTTTGGTTTTTCTACCTCCCAAAAACAATGATTTAAATTTACTTTGTGGTATCAACCCTATTTGGGAGGTATTTAAATTTTATGAATTAACTGAAATCATGAGACAAAAAAATGAAAAAGCATTCATTATCGCCCTTAACAAACTAGTTCTTGGAAAAATGACAAATGATGACCTAAATCTATTCAAAAGTCGAGAAGTAAAGGAGATTGAAGTCCCGAAAGATGTAATAAGACTTTATTATGAAAATTCAAGTGTAGAAGAATACAATAACTTAAAAATTATTACATCAGTAGGTAAAGAACTTAAGTCAGAAGCTACGGATATGGTGATTGGTAAAGTTACCGATAAAATTAAAGCAAAAGCCCTAGACTGTGTTAAAAAGAAAAAAATTACGGAAACTGGTGGGTTGCCAACATCATTGCGTTTAAAAACAGGCATAAAATATATGATAACCACAAACATAGATGTAGAAGATGGTCTTGTTAATGGTACTTGTGGAATTTTGAAGAAAATAACATTCACAAATAAATCTCATGTTGACAAATTATGGTTTTCTTTCATGCCAGACACAACTGTGGGCTGCAATACACGAACTCCATTTTTAAATTACATGGCAACTGAAGACATCGATCCTAGTCTTGTCCCAATATCAAAAAGAACATTTACATTAAACATTGCAACCCAAAATCATTATCAAATAATTAGGCAACAGTTTCCATTAACCCCTGCTGAAGCACTAACAATACATAAGAGTCAAGGACAGACTTTCGATAGTGTCTGCATAGATTTTAATAAAAAAAAATAGATTGAATAGACACCTATTGTATGTTGCTCTTAGTAGAGTCACTAAAATATCTGGTTTATATATACTTGGCACATTCAAGGCTCCACTGCCTCCTCCACCAAATGATCCTACAATGGTTGAGTTAGATAATTTAAGGCAAAACAAACTAACCCAGTAACCTTGTTATAAAAATCAGGGTCTACCTTGCATGAAATGGGGTAGTAGGTTTATTTTTTTTATGTTGTTTGTAATAGTACCGAGTTGCTAAATCCAAATTTTCGACCTCGGCGACCTTCCGGATCACCTCCAAAAAGCTTAAAAATCGGAGGAATTTCGCACTATTTTTACGTTTGTTCGATTTTGACCCTGAAGCATCAATTTTTCATAAAGAACAACCATAACAATTTTTAAAGTATATTAAATTACCTATCATATAAGACCAAAATGGTTATTACAGGCCTAATAGTTTTCAAGATATGACTCCGCAAACAACGGCTAAAATTACCAAATTTTGAATTTTTTTAAAGTTTGGCTAACGTTAACCCTTAAGCATAACTTTATCGTTATTTTTCATTTAAACAACCATAATTACTTTGAAACTGCATTAAAGTACTCACAATTTAAGGCCAAAATGGTAATTATAGGCCTAACACATTGAGAGACATGCCTCTTCAAGGTTCATAAAATCTTCCACAAATGTTTGTATTTTAAGATTCAACTTTCAAGCTATTCAATTTGGTCAAGTTTTATAAAAGAACCATAACAAGAAATAAACAAATTTATTTCATTTCAATTACAGATTGTGTTATAACAATTTATTTTTAAATGGAAATAAATCTATTGTATCTATCTACATAAACACACACGTACATTGTTACAATAAATGGTTCTCGGGGATAGAACACAGGCCTGTGACGAACGGTTTTCATTTTTACGTAATTTTGATTTTAAATTAAACTGTTTACAACATAGAAATACCTAATAATGGCTTAAATACTTTGATTTTGAATACAGATATGGCTTCTGTAATAGCATAAAGAGTGTATAAAAGGATTATAAACGTATTTTTTCCAAATAAACCCCATTTAAAGGGTCAAAAACATTACGCAAATTAATTAATTTGGCCTAACACATTTTGCGTCTTAAACTTTGAAATGCTTAAAATTGGCTTAAATATTATAATTTTGAATACAATTATGGCTTTTTTTAATTGCATAAAAAGTGTATAAAATGAATACATCTATAAGATATACAAATAAAGCTAACAGATTTTGCGTAACAGATTTTCTGATTTCAACTTTAAAATGGCAAAAAAGCTTAAATTGAATAATTTTGAATAGGATTATGGTATTATAAATTACACAAAGAGTATATAAATGGAATACAATTCTAACTTAGACAAAAAGTCATATTTAAAGAGTGAAAAACATTACGTAAACAAAATACTCAAATTATTTTTGCTAACATTTTAACTTATTTGTTTATTTCCTTGCAGTTTATATATTTTAACGCTTGAAAATGCTTTATTACACTGAAGGACTATATACTTAATGGTATAGAACCAATTTAGACTATAAAAAGTCAATAGTTTGCTTCATACTTCAAAAACGAAGTCAGATTTACAAGAATTTAAGCGAGTTTTGTTGTGCAAACCATACATTATTTGTTAATATTTTTCAAATTAATCACGATTGACTTTTTAAAACCTCATATATCAAAAGAGTACTAGTTGGAGCAAGGTAAGCAACCAAAAAATACCAATAAAAACCTATAGTTTATGCAAGAGTTAAGTTTTAACATAGGAAAGAGCTAAAGACCACCTACGGTGCCAATGGGACTATGGACACCTGTGGTCACTATTACCTACAAACAACCATGATATAACTCATGATGACATATAGTTTTTTTTTGTTCAGATATTTTAGATATTTGAATTATATACATCCTGCAGTTAATCCCATACTGATGGGTTGGAGCGTTCAAAAGTTGTAGGACTTTAAAATTTGAGTTCCTTATCAGGTTCATGTAAGGATACCTATACCCATGTCCTTCTAGTGTCAGTGCTGTAGTTTGAACAAGTTGGTCCTTCCCCCACTACTGCTCAATTCATACAGCACAGACAGGACAGGAGGTCGTGAGGAGTGCCAGTAAATCCTGGCATAAAAGAAGTAATATATTGCATGGCAGAACGACAGCAAAGTTAAAAAACCTTTTTTACTGTTGCATCTTCATTCTTTATATCAATTCCTCTTGGTAGTTCTGTATAAACATTTTAATTACAATTCATTTCTTCCATAAAAAACTTATAATATGTTGTTGAAATGAAATAAATTTGTTTATATTCTTATTGTGGTACTTTTATAAAATTTGATCAAATTGAACAACTTGAATCTTAAAATACAAACATTTGTGGAAGATTTTATAAAATTTGAAGAGGCATATCTCTCAATGTGTTAGGCCTATAATTACCATTGTGGTCTTAAATTTTGAGTACTTTAATGCAGTTTCAAAGTAATTATGGTTGTTTAAATGAAAAATAACGATAAAGTTATGCTTAAGGGTTAACGTTAGCCAAACTTTAAAAAAATTCAAAATTTGGTAATTTTAGCCGTTGTTTGCGGAGTCATATCTTGAAAACTATTAGGCCTGTAATAACCATTTTGGTCTTATATGATAGGTAATTTAATATACTTTAAAAATTGTTATGGTTGTTCTTTATGAAAAATTGATGCTTCAGGGTCAAAATCGAACAAACGTAAAAATAGTGCGAAATTCCTCCGATTTTTAAGCTTTTTGGAGGTGATCCGGAAGGTCGCCGAGGTCGAAAATTTGGATTTAGCAACTCGGTACTATTACAAACAACATAAAAAAAAGAAACCTACTACCCCATTTCATGCAAGGTAAAATGCGTTAGGTTACTGGATTAAACAGCTTGCCATTCTTACTGATGAGGAGTGTCATTCGAATGAAAAAGTTTACGTGTTTGTATAGACTTCTTATTCAGAAATCAAACAGAATTTGAATTGAAAGGAAATGCTTCTACTTACTCACAAATTAACAGCATACAGAAGAAGACATAACAGAAATATGGAAAAACCAATTTATAAATATTAAATCACATTATAATCATATGGACTTAAGAGACTAATTTAATAGTGCACTGATGATCCACAACCTGAAACTTTTTTTTTTTTAAGAAATCATCTAAGCTACAGAAAGTAAGTTTAATGACTAGTATTTTTAAATTCTATTATTTTATATTATGTTTTTATTTTATTTTATAACATGGTTTTAGTTTCTAAAATTGTTGTAATGTTATTCCTATTGATTATTTTGACAATACTTGAGCCAATTGAGTTGTCTTAACCCATATTTTTTTTAATATTTAAGAAGTGTACAAAATCAAGAACTGTAGATATATGCCTATATTTCTCAGCCAAAAAGAAAAACAATTCATTACTGTATATTTAATTAGTGGCTTGAAGTAACATAGGTCTATTGTGCCTACTCCATTTTATATATATGACTATTCATTTTTTACAATCTTTAATAGTTTTTTTATTGAACACTATGAACACTAACTTTTATTAAATTTACAAAGATTCTTTCTTAGATATTCTGTTTGCAGATTAACTATCCTAATTGAAACAAAACCAAGACTTTGAAGAAACCCTTGAACTTAGAGATACAGTATTCAATTCCTTCTACCAGTCTTATACCATACTCTTCCTGCCTAATTCTCCTAAATTTCCTGCCATATCCATAGGTAATTATCAAATTACTATCTGATATCCACAGGCTTAATACTTATCTTAACCAATCAATAGGTGTTAT